AAAAGGACAAAGGAATGTATCTGGGTATTCAAGTCTATATTGTGAGACCAGCAGGAAAAATTGTACCCCAGAGGTGTCCTTACTGGAAAGGAGAGTGGAAGAAAATACTGGCTGCTACAGTGATAGCAGTGGAATGGCAGAAATACCAAATAGTTGGATATTGTGTGGAATGTGATCTATAGAATCAGAATAATAGAATTGTTTTGTTTGGAAAAGACCTTTAAGATCATCAAGTCAAACCATTAACCCATCACACTGCCAACTAAACCATGCCCCTAAGCATCACATCTACACGTCTTTTAAATCCCTCCAGGAATGATGACCATGTCCCTGCACAGCCTGTTCAGTGCCTCTTAACACTTTCAGTAAAGAAATTGTTCTTAATATCCAATGCAAACTTCCTCTGGCACAACTTGAGGCCATTACCTCTTGTTCTATCACTTCTTACTTGGGAGAAACGTCCAACCCCCACCTTGCTACAACCTCCTTTTAGGTAATCACAGAAGGCATAAGGTTTCTCAGCCTCCTTTTTTCCAGACTAAACAACCCCCACTCCCTCAGCTGCTCCTTGTAGGACTTGTGCTGTAGGCCCTTCACCAGCTTTGTTGCCCTTCTCTGGAGTTGCTTCAGCACCTCAGTGTCCTTGTAGCAAGGGGCCCAAAACTGAATAGAGTATTTGAGGTGCAGCCTCACCAATGCTGAGTACAAGGGGACAATCACCTCCCTGGTCCTGCTGACCACACTATTCCTGATGCAGGCCAGGATGCCATTGGCCTTCTTAGCCACCTGGGCACACTGCTGGCTCATGTTCAGCAAACACCCCCAGGTCTTTCTCTGCTGGGCAGCTCTCCAGCCACCCTTTCCTAAGCCTGTAGCATTGCATGGTGTTGTTGTGACCCAGGTGCAGAACCTGGCACTTGGCCTCATTGAACCTCATACAGTTGGCCCTGGCCTATCAATCCAGCCTGTCTGGATCCCACTGCAGAACCTTTCTACCCTCAAGCTGATCAACTTAGTTCCTGCCCAGCTTGATGTAATCTGCAAACTTACTGAGGATGTACTCAATCTCATCCAAATAATTGATAAAGACATTAAACAGAACTGGCACCAGTACTGAGCCCTGGGGAACACCCCTTGTGACCAGCCACCAAGTGGATTTAACTCCATTCAGCACAAACTTGCAGCCCATTATTTACAACATCAAACTTCTGTAGATGACTCAATCAGTTAATGTTTTTGGCTGCCTCAGTTGCAAAATTAAACCTGTAAGCACTTCTTCAGAACAGCTGAGATCCCAAGCTGAGATTTGTTATGTGACTAGACATAAATTGCAACACAGGTGTTTTATTCATTCCTACTTACTTTCTCTTAATTTACTCCAGGATACTTTGGCCAAGTGTATTTGATTGGTGCAAATGTCATTAGGCTAGAAAGTGATAATTAAGTGAAGGACTGTTTAGTGCTTTTAAGTAGGTAGGAACAATGTCAGTTGGATATAGTGGGATTGACTGCTGGAGATACTGAGACTCCATGTGGACATGGTCCTGGGCAGTCAGCTGTAGGTGACCCTGCTTGAGCAGGCTGGTTGGAACTAGATGACATAAGGAGGTCCCTTCCAGCCTCAGCCATTTTGCAATTCTGTGAAGTACTTTAAGATACTTTGCTGATTTCTTTCTTTCTTTCTTTCTTTAAATTCCCCAAATTGTGACCACCTGCATTAATGCAAGTCCATGTGCTTACCTGCAGGTTATGTCTCTCTCTGTGTGGCCTAATTTTGTCTTCCCATTTAAGTTTTCATGAGGCTGTGATGTGTGATGGGGTGTAAAGGTTTCAGGTGGACATTTTCCTGACACTGCCCAACAATCCTGCCCTCTCCCCTTCCCACCCCCCAACCTAGAAACCAGTCCAAATCCACCAAGACAATTATTTCCCTTCTGAAAAAAATAAAGCAGAAGAGAGCTCTGGAGGTCATCCATCTTAGGTTGCTTCTCAGAGTAGAGCATCTTCTAAGGCAGATCAGGTTGCTCATGGAGTTGTCCAGGTAAATTTTGGATTTGGAAGAATGGAGATTCCACCATCTTCCTGGGGCCAAATTTTAGTGTTTGTTATTCTCCTCCTGGACAGACAGTTCCTATGTGCTCAGCTGGAATTTCCCTTGCTGTGACTTATTGCTTCCTGAGCATCCACTGCATGCCTCTGAGAAGAAGTCTGTCCCCAGCTGCTCTGTATTTCTTCAGGCAGTGGGAGACTGTTAAGGTTCATTCCATCTCTTCATGTTCTTGTCTTCTGGCTAAATAAGGCTAATTCCCTTAGCTTTTCCTCACAGGTCATGTGACTTGAACCCCAGCAGCCCTCCTCCACTCTCTGTTCAAATCATTAGTGTCACTCTTGTATCAGAGGGCCCACACCAGAAACCATACTCCAGGTGTGGCCTCAGAAGTGCCGGGTAAGGGGAGTAATCACTTTTCTTGAACTCCTGGTTACACTCTTCATAGTGCAGTCAAATTGTCACTAGTCCACATCCCTGCAAGGGCACTCTAAATTTTGCTATCTCCAAAGCAAGGCTGAGTATACTTGGACTAGTGGTCTTTGCAGGTACTGTGTTCTTGTTTGGTGAGTGAGGATACACCAGATTTCCTAGGCAGCTGGCCATTGAGTCTTACAGGATATACAGTATGTTCCTCTGCAAATTGGTTTTGAAGCTGATTTGAGGAGTCTCACAGACACTTTGTTCCCTGCGTGCACATTACATGTTTTTTCTGTGGTGTGCCTGGTGCAGGATATCTGAAATCTGTCACTTTGGGGCCTGTCATTGTTGGTAGGTCTGTTTGATTTATGTTTTAAAGTGGTAAATGACTCTCATTGAGAATTTGTTACAGTGTGATTGGTTTAAAATTAAAAAAAAAAAAAAAGGGGTGTGTGTGTTATGGTCGTAAATTCAAGAAACTGAGCTTTCTGTTTTAGAAGTTTTTGTTTTTCTCCAGGTGTAAACCAGCTGCTGCTTCAACTACATTATTTGGTACTAAATACTAACAATTGGCAACATCTTTAAACAAGACTTTTTTTTTCCTTGTAACATTGCTTTTGTAACAAAACATATCAGAGGTGCTTTCTTTCTGATTGTTGGGAGGTTACCTACATGAGCCCTAATTTGTGTAGTTTTGGCACAGTGGCTCAGGTTGCTGTGAGCTAACATTTATGAGCAGTCAAATGAAAGGGAAGCATGTATTCCTGGCACCATCAGGTCAGTTTGGCAGAGGAAAGCTGCCTAAGTACTTGAACATGTTGCCTAGCAGAAATAACTTTCTGATTTGGAAAGGATGGGCCTCTGAGTGATGCAGAACTAGTGTGCACAGGTTTTTAAAGGAACTTTTGTTTCATCACTGCTTCTTATCTGTCAGAAAGAAGCATTGCATTAGTAAGTGCTTACTCACATCCGTGCTTCTTATCTGTCAGAAAACAAGCAGCATTGCATTAGTAAGTGCTTACTCACATCCTACATCCTTAATAATAAGGGAAAAAAAGAATGGTTGGATTGTAATAGTAGGAGACCAGAGAAGGGATTTTAGTGGTTGGTTATTGCATTTTTGTGGCTGGAAACATTCAAACACTGCACAAATGTAATTAGCATTGCAGACAGAATATATGCAAATTTTTAGCAGTTTTCTCTTTGTTAGTGTGTATTTTTTGTTTAGTTGTTTCTCAGTTCTGTGCTGTTCCAAGACTTCTCACTGCTTGATGTTACCCTTCCTAAGGAGTCTATGTATCCCTGGGGAATGAAGCACAAAAAGCAGTTATATTTTAGCCAAACAAAACAGAATTTGTCTCATGTCAAAGGTTAGGAAAGGGACAGACTTGCTCTGTTTCTTTCTTTTTCTCCCTTTTCTCTACCCCAATGATTATAATGAAATGAAAAACCCAACTTCTGGACTGTATTGATTAAGCAGAAGCCTTAAGTCAGTTGAGGGCTGGAGATTTACACTGTCTACACCAATATAACTGGAACTGGAATCTTCCCTTGGTTCCACTAAGTGTCATCTCATCTTTAATTTGGAAGAGAAATAAATGTCAGGGAGTACAGTTTGTTGGAGAAGAGATATTTGGAGACAAGGCACAGTTTGTGGCCACTCATAACTGAGAGGCGTAAGCTTTTTACCGTGTCAAATGTCACCTGTCATTCCAGTGCATGCTTGTATTACATTAAGCTACATCAAATTGCATGCTGCCTAAACTTCTGTACAATAAAGAGATTGCTTATCATTCATGCAGTGTAGAGAAAGGGCAGCCTTCATCTCTTCAGGGTAACTATAACCAAGGAAAAAATTAACGGTGTTATAAATGTGCTTTTATAAACCACTTGAGACTTGCTGACAGTGAATGTGTAGCTTTGGGTTTGTTCAGTGTTCAAAATTATCCACAGTGGCTGACCTTTGATGGTTTCCAGTTGAGTTGATGAGTCAGGCACAGAATCATAGGATGATTTGGGTTGGGACCGTAAAGATCATACAGTTTCAACCCCCCTGCCATGAGCAGGGACATGTTGTGCTTATGTGTAATGGACATGCAAATTCTCTTCTTAGGTATGTGATGGAATTTTCCTTGGTAGTTCAGGAAATGAGAAAAAAGGATGAAAGACTTTGACATAAAAAAAAAAAAGACCAGAGTTACAGACTGTGAGATGATATGGGGGGTTGATCTAGACACACTTGTATTAAAGGCACCTAAATCCATAGCCTTGTTTAGCAAAGAAAACATACACTCTAGGCAGTAGGCATTAGGTACATGAAGCACACTTTTGAATTTTGATCTCTTTATGTGCACACAATATTTTTGTTCTGGTATCTCACCCCCATTTAAGGGTAAGTTGAACAGCAAGGTGCAAAAAAATATATTATTTTTTTTTTTCTTATTTTTGGTTTGGGGAAACTAGATCAACAGTAAGACAGCGTAATTCAGGTGATACTTTGTGGTTGAACTTGTTTTGTTTTTATTCCTAACAGTACATTCTTTCGGGCTCTGATGACTTCAATTTGTACATGTGGAGGATTCCCCCAGATCCAGAAGCAGGTAAGTTTTGTTGGTTTGGAATTTGGGGGAGAGGAGACAACTGACTAACAACAGTTCACTGAAAAACTTATGATCTGTTACTAAGAAATTTCATCTCATAATTAAATTTTCAGCATAAAATAGTACTGGGTTTGCAGGTTCCTCATTACATCTCCAGTTCATTGGCCTCTTCCTCTCTTTCTTTCCTCTTACACCAAAGCCCTCCCACTGATATCTAATGCAGAGCAGTTACGCTCTTTACTTTCTGGGTGGAAGAGCACTATCAGCAGGTGGAAATGACCACTTTTGACTCATTTCTGACCCTTCCCGGTGCTGGGGCAGACATTCTAAGCAAGTAGCACTATCTCAGTTCTGTGTGAAAGTAAAGGAGAGAGGTATTCTTTAAATCAAGAAAAGAAGTACTGCTGGAGGGTGTAACAGTTGTGTTGCAGATGCCACAGCTGGTCAGTGCCTAATTTGATACCATCTGGTGTTGTGTAGAGTTTGGCAATATAACATCATACACTGTTATCTCTAAGCCATACAATGTCAGCATGTCTCCTTTGTTGAAATAAATCACTGTGCTCCTCTAGAAGGTTGTTGAATCTCGAATGACAGACTCAAGACTTTAGAAAAGTGTACTACTGCTTCTATTTTTAACAGCTCTGGCAGTTTAAACTATATTCTAGTGATATTAAGTGCAAGTGAGTGCTATCCTGTGGTCTCAGGTGCTTTAGCAATAGTGAGAGCAAATTACAAGCTGTGTTGGAGGTTAAATGAAAATATTTTCATATTCGAAGGCTGTTCATCACTGCTGTGTAATCCACAGCTGAGAGGATGACTAGCTTCTTAGAGGTTTGGATAACAGCACATTTTTGAGGAAAATACTGTTCTAATTTTGGATTGTTTACTTAACCAACAGTTCATGTTGCAGTCCAGAAGTCCTAAAGATGGTCCTGCTAAAAATACCAGTTCCTTGGCCTTCTGTCTTTGTATAGGGTCTATAGAGACTTCTGCCTGCTTTCCTTTTAGTTGGTATGGTTTCCTTTTACATTTGACACTGTTTTACTGCTACGTACAGAATTTCCTCTTAGTTAAAACGAAGATTACATAAATTTAAATTAGTTACTTACCTATAAGTTGCAATGTGTGGACTGTAGGGCTTCCATTTTATGCATGTTACTATACTTGTGACTCCATTTGTAAATTCTGGTTTGGGGATTTTGTGTTTATCTTGTTGTGATGCTCTTAAAGGTTTTTTTCCCTGGTAGCTGCAGTTGACAAACTTTTTATTTGGGACCTCTGCACAAAGCGTGATAGCTAAAGTTACCATAAAATAGTGTTAGACATGTTTTTGGTCAGCTTTTTTGTTTCTTATTCTTGTAATATGAGGAAGGGTGTCCATACACTTGCAACATTTCAGTTACAAAATTACTTACTTAATGTCAATTGCCTTCAGTGGTTGCTTAATGGCTCAGAAGATCCTGTAGTAGGAAGGTGTATGTCTTCGGCTCTTGTAACATAAGGAGTTTTCTTGTTGAAATATTTTAGCAAAGCTAATGAGCTTTGTTTGTTAGACCTAAAGGTTTGACTTCTGTGGCACATAAATCATCAGCCATCCAAATCATCTGTGATAACCTTATTGAAGCTTTTTTTGTTCATTCAGCCCTTCATGGATGGTTGTACTTGTTTTGAATGTGATGAAATATAATTTCTTGAATCTCTTCCTGTGGTTCAGAATAATTATTCAGCTGGAGAGGTTGCTTGTACTTCATTCTTGGAGAAAGAGTCTTGCTGCAGGGATGTGGTGACTTATGCCTTTGGGTCTGTGGTCTGAGAGGTTTGGGATGTGGTCTTTCATTTAAAATATTGTACAAACTAGGGAGGGTGATGTAGTGAACTTGTATTGGTCATTGGTATTTTAAATGAAAATGTCTCTTGAATTGATTTCTACCTTTGGTTTGAATTCAGACATTGTGTTGCTATAAATATTTATGGTATTGCTACCTTAAATTATATTATCGGTTTGTAAACAGCAACTTTTTTGCAAGCCTAAAACTTTTTACAGAGCTGCATCCTTAACAGCACCTCTGAACTAAACTTTGCTTCCGTACAGGTGCAGCAAGCACTAGCTACCTAATAGTTAGCAACATTGCTAAAGAGAAGATGAGGGAAAGTGGAAAGAAACCCACCAGTCAGACAATTGCAAACATATTTCATGTTGGAAGAATGCAGTTACCTGTGTTGGTCTTTTTCCAGGAAAATTGAACAAATTCTGCGTTTTTTTGAAAATGATAATAATTTAGAGGTGTCCTGTCAGCTGGTTGCGTCAAGTCATTCTCCCTCAGCTGGAAACTCTGCTAGTTGTTTTATTTGGTCCAGTTATTAGATAGGATTTACTTCTGGGTGGGAAAGTTTATGAAAAAAGATATTTACTAAATTACTTAGGAATGTATTCTGTTGAGGAATTTTATTGTCTGTCTCCCTCCACAATCTTAGATTATTCTGAATAGGCCAGGATTTCCTGTGCCAGGTTGGTTGCTTTTTTACCACCTTTTTCCCTTTCTTGAAGGTGGGATAGTTTGCTCATTTTTCCACTTTCTTCTCCATCCAAGTACTACCCAGCTTTCTACCGTACTTCAGAAGTAATTACAGATTGGTAAATTTGTTAGCCTGTTTCCTCTTTCAAGTATATATCCCAGTTTTCTTCAGAGGTATGGTTTCTAGCAGTATTAATACATTAGTCTGTCAGAAGAAAAGCAATCCTGGGTTTCCACAGCTTTTACATTACTCCAATGCAAACGAGAAGTGAGAAGAGACATCAGCTCTGTGATCTGCCTAGCAAGACTGTTAGCATATAAGCACTTCAGGCAGTATTTAAACCCAACTCCCATAAGCATGGTCTCTTAGCTGGTAAAGAATCCCTGTTCGAGACAGAACCTGTCTTGTGGGGTAATAAAGGGCTTAGTAGACCAAATGTTTTGCAAAAATGGAATTTACATTCCTCACCCACTACTCTGAATCATCTTTGCAACTCAGAGCTTGTCTCTCGCTTTTGAAATATTGCTTGAAGATGCTATGTGAGGGATATGATATTTATGTATGATGAGAAGACAGTTGGGAATCCTTCCATTTACGTGAGCAGGCTGTCACCAGACTTCTGAGAAGCTTCACTAAATCAGAACGGCAAACTGCATTTCAAAACCTCTTTTTTTAATGATGTCTGTGACTATAACTGCTAGCAGGGAGGTGCCTGTCACTGTGGTCCAGTTACTAAACTAATTGCAGCAATTTTCAGCAGAACTAATGCAATTTTTCTTTTCCCTTTTTTTTTTTCCTTGTTCATTGTAAATGCAGACACCTCTTCAGGCTTGAAGAATTCAGTAACAGATCTTTTCACAACATTTGAGCAGGGTTATCTCTTTGGAGACAGCTTGTGGTTTAAACTCTCAAAATTCCAGGCTGATAAGTGAAGATGAATAATAGATGATTGTTTCTTAATGTCTTTAGCTATTTTTGAGATTTTTATAGATGCGTATGCATTGCACATGTATGCATATATATATTCACCAGTTTGGCTGGGGTGGGGAAAACCATCTGGTCTAATGGAGAGAGCATGTTCTGGAAGGTTTGTAATTTTTTTAAAACTGAATTTTCTAAGGCATGGTCTAGGGATCTAAACTATTTACTTGTAGGCCTGTAGTTTGTCTCTTCAGTGTGCCCATGGAGCAGTTTAACAGATTATCACAGCAAGTAAGTGGTGGGGCAGTGTGGAAGAAGTTCTCGTATTCAATGGATTTTAGGCTGGTTTCCACCTCATGTGGACTGTAATACCAGAAACCTGCAGAAATGTCCTGGCTAGATTACTTCTATCAGAAAAAAAAAAAAAAAAGGCAGTGTTGAGTGCTTTGTAGTGCTGTAGCCAAGCAGAAGATGATTTGGAATCCATGAGTGTTTCTCTCACTGGCCTTAGCAGGTCTGGTATCGAATTCAGATTAGAAAGCTGAAGGTAAAACTGAATGCTAGGTGGGTCTGAAGAAGCCTTAGTCCCCAACAGCAAGCCAGCTGATTGTACCAAAGCTCCTTCCTCTTTATTGAATGTATTTGCAGCTACCAGTACAAAATAAATACACAGGCAAGCAGTTTTCACACCCCCATTTTCAACAACAGCTATCAGTTGTGTGATAATTTCACTTATTTTATGGACCTTGGAGTCCAGGTAGCCAACAAGTTATCCATAGGGCAGCAATGTGCCTTTGTGGCCTAGAAGGCCAGTGGTATCCTGGGGTGCATTGAGAAGATTATGTCCAGCAGGTTGGGGGAGGTTCTCCTCCCTCTGTACTCTCCCTAGTGAGACCCCAACTGGAGTATTGTGTCCAGTTCTGGGCTCCCCAGTTGAAGAGGGACAGGGATTTACTTGAGGACGTCCAGTGGACAGATACGAGGATGATTAAGGGATTGGAACACTTGCCTTATGAGGAAAGGCTGAGAGGCCTGGGACTGTTTAGTCTAGGGAAGACCGAGAGGGATCTTATGGATGTATATAAATATCTAATGAGTGGGTGTCAAGAAGGATGGGCCAATCTCTTTTCAGTTGTGCTCTGTGATAAGATGAGGGGCAAGGGATGCCAGCTGGAGCACAGGAGGTTCCACCTCAACATGAGGAAGAACTTCTTTACTGCAAGGATTACAGAGCACTGAACAGGCTGACCATAGAGGCTGTGAAGTCTCCTTTGGAAACTTTCAGGACCCATCTGGATGCATTTCTGAGTGACCTGCCCTAGATTCTGTGGTGGTCTTGCCCTGGCAGGGGGGTTGAACCCAGTGCTTTCCAGAGGTCCCTTCGAACCCCTAACATTCTGTTATTCCCTTTATGTTAAGAAAGCATAGTTGGTGGTGGTAGCTTCCATGATTTCAGTACCATTGTAAAAAGCATTGCGATCTGTGCAGTTAAACGCACCCAAAGAGCAATCTCTCTCAGACCAGGAGAAGGGACAGAATGGAAGGGGTGTGCCAGAGTT